GGAGGAAAAAACCTCCCATTCACCAAATGTTCTCCATCATAGTGGCAGCTTGTTTCTTAGATTATTGCATTTCCAATTCCATGTAATTATAGATGCTATGAAGGACTATCAATTTCCTAGTTTATACAACTTAATTATCAGGATGCTGAGAATTTGAAATGAGAAAGCCCACTTCTAAGCCCCAGCAAGACCTAATACTTCACCAGACTGAGTCTGAAGCTTAATACCATAACCTAATGCAAGCTTATAATTCATTAGTGGAGAGTTTTGTAGTCATGGAAACAACAGAAAAGAGAAAGAGCCTAAGCTCTGGATGATTTAGCAGCCCATCAGCTCGAATGAAGGTGGGGACAGCACAAGCACTACACCTTGCTCCAGCCTGAGCTGATGTCATTGCTGTTACAAGTCAACAGGGGGAATGAGCTTCCTTGGCCACTTTAGCTGTTTCCCTACAAAACATGCGCTGAGCAATCAGGGGAGATGCTTTTGCACTAAATTTCCCATGAAACAGAACAAAAGACGCAGTCTCAGACTTTTCTGCTTCTTTCCTTGGCTTAACAAATGCTCATAAAGAAGACAGCAACACGTGGCTTGTCCCATCCCGCTGTGCACTCTCACTGATTCTTATTTGCTCCTTTCAAGAACAAATTAACTAATGAACTAAATTACAGGAACACATTGCACTCAATATATACACACATATTTACCCGTATAGAAAGGAGCATACTTGGATTAGACTGGAGCAGACTGGGATGCCTACAAAAAACATGGCAGTACAGCAAGACACACCAGTGCTGGAGTGATGAGCTGGACCACAGGCATTACTGAGGATTCACAAGGTTTATACAGACCATTTTTCAGCCATGTATTCCTTGCTGAAATTACATCCTAGCAAGACTTCCTTGCAGCGAGAACACTGAATATAGGCAAAGAAGCAGAATGCTGTTTATATGCACTCATTTATCATTTATTTTCATGACAGCCATGTCACTATGGTGAACTGTGACATAATGCAATATATAAAAATGGAAATGACTTTTTTTACTTCAAAAGCTGAAGTAGTTACTGAAAAAGTAGCTAGGAAAAGAATTCTCATCATTTTCATTGCTACTAAAAAGGCATGGAGGCAAACAGGATGTTTCATAAAAATATAAATGGGGAGGGTGATGACACTCTACCTGGGAGTTAAATATGGACTATTTTATGTCTTTAGTTTACTTTCCCCCTCATTTCCTCTCCTCCTCCCCTTAAACCTGTGCCATATTTACCCTTTGTTTAATAACAGTAAGTTCATTTAAAGGATTTGCCTGAAAAAAATAATTGTGCCATATACAAAAAGGATTAGAAATGCCTTTCTGCAGAAATCATGTGGAAGAACACAGGAAACGCACTCCTGAAGCCCACTCTTGTGCTAAACTGCTTTGCTCATCACATAGGAACGATGGTATCAGGGTGCTCCTGAATGAATTTGGATTACAGATAACGGAAGTGGTGTGTCAACCAAAGGGTCCTGGGCAATTAGTAAAACAGAATTACGTTTCCTAATCCTAGCAGGAGCTGGGTACTTGGATCCCATGCCTCTATTAACACCCTGCAGGCTCACAAAACTGATGAGCTTGTTCTACTCAGTGACTCACAGCTTTCCACTGAGGTCCATTACTTGCAGATAGCATATAAAGATGAGCATGATGGAGGCAGAAAGACAGGGAATCATGGAATTCCTGAGGTAGAGATGAACTGAGCACCGTAAAGGTGAGCAGAGGCAGCGCCCGCCAGCACAGCAGCAAATGACTAAGTACTTTGATTAATGGAAAAGTCCTCGGTTCCAGTTAAAAACCTTGAGTAAAGTATGAGAATGCTGCATTTTATCCAAACAGCAGTTTAATTTAACGGCTTTGTGTCTTTCTAAATATATACCTACAATCACTTTGCCCGATTTCATTTCTTTCCGGACTCTAGCTTGCCAGCCGCTTGCTTCGGGAGCTATTCCACGTTCTTTACTGACCCCGTGTGGTTTCTTACTCCAAGCAGAAATTACTTTCGCAAGCTCAACGTCACGTTCAATGGGAGTTTACTTACGATAAAGGCAGCAAGAGACTCCTAAAGGACAATAGTTTAATACGCCATTCAGAGCTGCTTATTCTGGGGGGTTATAACCTCATTCCCTATTCATCCCTTTGTTAAATGCTATTTATGTTGCTATATAGAAGTTAAAACTGTATGAGGTACTTGAATAGATGATTTCCAAGTGATGCCCAAATCTGCCAGGCTCAAGACTAAGGTAACTATATCCCCTAGAAAATGTAGACAATGAAGTCAAATGACTATGGAAAAGAGTAATATGAAAAGGGATTTATCTACCTTAAGAATAGGATTTTCAGAGGATACTGCCCTGGACAGCGGATATCTGGCTGTGAGCAGTGAAATCAGAGAGGGAAGAGCTCCCAGGTTCCCATTTGGCACTGTCAACATGTTTAATCTGTTTAATAATCCTGTGGCCACCTGAGTCTACTTTGTTTTCTGCTTTTATTGCCAAACACGCCATCCCCTGCAACAGAGCAGTGTCTAACGACATGAAATGTAATTAAAGAGGCTGCCTAGGAATAATATTCAAGAATTCTTGCAGAAATATCCTGCGGTAGCAGTAATAAAAACCCCAGACAACAAATACGATGCTAGAACAGCAAATCCCTAAGTGACAGAAAGAGAATTGCTTTTATATATGCTCCCTCATCCTTTAATTATGCTAATTACTGCGAAGTTTCACTAATACAAAAGCCTGGAGTGTAGAATTTGCTTTTAAGCATAAAACTCATTTCTATATAGCTAAAAAGAGTAAAATTCTGATATAAAATAATCATCAATGACTTCAGTTCTACCTGAACTTAGTGCAAATCTCGGCCACCGAACACTGCAGCCATGAGACACTGCAGACCACGACCGACTTTAAAACCTTGGGATTCTGTATCCAATGAAACTATTTAGCACACACAGGCACACACACAAAGCTGAAGGTGTTTTCTGCATGATGTTAAGAAAATAATCTGATTAAATATACACGTTGCTGGTGGAACAAAAGCAGCAGAAATGCGTGACGCTTCCCATGTCTGGTAATTCCATAAACAAGTGCTGCTGCTCTCGGACCTTGTTCACTGCATTCTCACATTTGCTGTGATATTATAAAATCATGTTTGTACATTTTACTGGCTTCTAGCTCCAAAGGGTTACCCTATCCTCGGGAACACAGCCTGCCTCCTTCATCAGCTCCTGCTGCTTCCTCTCAATTCCAATCCTGGGAACACAACCTCCCCAGACGTCCCACATAAACTGATTACTTACAAAATCATTTCCATAGACATGCTAACGTCAGTGGCGATTAGCCTGCAGAATGCAGCATGCAGTGATGCTTCTGAGCCCAGGTTAGTGATGCTAAGTCACTGCCAGCAGCAAGCAGAATGGGGATTGGTAATAAAGTAGAGAGAAAAGACAGACAATAAAGAAGCAGCATTTTATCCCATGGAATTCTCCTCTTCACATCAGAACCACTTTCTTTGTATTCACATTTATGATTCGCAAGGACTAAACATGAATTTTGCCTAGGAAGCAGCTGTAGGAAACTGTTCTCTTTTCTTGGCAACACTTCTTTGGTGACAACACAAATAGACCAAGGATCCTGTCAGCTGTATCAGTGCACTTCGAGGTCTGTATTTTACAACAAAGCGATCAACACCATGTTAGACGTAACTTCACGTTTACCCCAGAGGTGTTATTTCAAGGTAGATTTGCTCTGGTTTAAAACACATTTACACAGAGAAACTTGTAACTTCCCTGCATTAAACAAGTTTCATCAATGAAACCACCATGCCATTTTACTTTCAAGTAAGAAGAGGTGTAAAGCATTGAGGGAGGGTAGTCCTCTTCTGTACAGGCTTTTCTGAGATAAAGATACCAGATAAAGAATCAAGGTTAAGAAAAAATAAGTTACTGATTGCATGGCAAATGATTACTGCACTAGGAAATACTTGCTAATGACAAATACTCTTTGTTTTTCTGGTTCAGCATTAAAGCATTTGGTAAAATCATGCATTAATGATATCAGCATCTCTTCAATCATAAAATGTGTCTTTTAAATTAAGTATTTTAAGCTTTGAGCTATAAGATGCCAACTGCTTCAGGTCAACTTAAATTGCAAAACCACTATCTGAAGATGATAATGGGTTCAATTATTGCCAGATTCTTGAAACAGTTTACATCACAGAACTTCAAATGATGTTTAAATTGTAATTAACCAATGTCCGAAACTGAAAGCAGGATTTGTGTCAGTAACCTTTTTGCCTTAATAAAGCAAGAGGATTTGTTAGAGATACATGCAACAAAAAGTTCACACACGTACGTTCTCGATGCTGATGTGGGCCTTTTACGGCACTAATTCAGTGATGCGGTGATTAGTGAAAGAAGGAAAATGGGAAGTAGACAGGTGAATTGGTATTTCAGGTATCAGAGCAACTGTGCATATGGGTAATATCTTATGATATAATATACTCCAACCAAGATACAGCAATATATGTAGTATATTATGTAGTATATTGTATCATAAAACATACATGCTATGTTATGTAAATTTATCTATTGAAATATACAGTGAACATGAGCATTATCAGATCTGTGGAAGCTAAAGTTCCATGAGTGTCTTTCAAATTAAAGATGCACCATTTTCCATTTTCCATGAGAAGGTGGCATTCATTTAACTAATTCCTTCAGAAGGAAAGGCATCTGCTGAGGTTTGAGTAAGAAAAATTTGGATCCAGGGAGTACTTTATGACAAATCATAGAAGATGCGTATTTCATTTTTTTATCCATTAGAAGAGCTTAAACTGGGCAAATAACAAGTGCATCCTTAAAATAAGGTGAGAATGAAAGTGAATTTAATCAACTTCAAACACTGGTAAAGAGGATTGTGTGGAGAGGAAGGTGTGGGAGAACACCAAGGAGAAAACTACCTTGAAGAAGTGGATATTTACATGACAGTCCTGGAAGAGACAGGAAAGGGAGAAACACTGCTTGGTTAGTAAAGGGCTTGCAAAGCAGAACAGCAACAATTAGTAGCAGAAGTAAGCAAAATCAAAGCAGCGAGAATACGGAAATGGACACGTCTGCTACACAGAAAAGTCACAGAAGAGAAACCATGGTGTTAATACCCTGCCAGTACAGAGTACGATGCAGCACAGTGGTCTGCACGCAGCTGCTCTTCAGTGCGAGCCTCAGTCGTGTGCATACACACGCTTCATGCATGGAACACTCTGCAATGTGTTAAACCACTGCAATGCATGAAGCTACATGAATGCACAGATGTGTGCAGGCTGGGCTCTTCACAACTAAATAAGCACTGCAGAGGGGTGACAGCACAGAAGTTAGGTTTGATTGGGTTTGGCCTTGTTTTGAGACGCACATTTAACCTTTATGTATGGGATGAAGAAATCCCTGCTGTCACTATGATTTTCTACATTCTTCACCTTAAATCACAACATACAGGCTGAGAAAAGCCTTACAGAGATCACAAGCTGATACAAACTGAGACCAGAGATGTATGTCATCTGGTTAGGAAATTTCAGGTTCTCTAGTTTCAGATATGATGACTCAATGGGAAACCTCCAGATAAGTGCATATGGGAATTCCCTGTGCCAAACTATAGCATAGAACAGATGGAGTCATCTAACAGCATCTCTATGCTGCTGCAAAGTATTCTCTAATGATTAAATATGCACAATTTAAAAATAGGAATGAGTGCCATGGCCAAAAAAAGCAGCTCATCTTTTTCTCTCTATATATACATAATGAGTGTGTACTGATGTGCCAGTGATATTTTGGCTGGTCATGATTTCAGTGCAGCTTAGTGCCTGTTTCCTGAAAAGTAAATTTAATCCTTCTGTTTACAACCTGAAGTGTCAGCAATGTTAATTCTCTTTCCCCTGTCACCTTTGCTGACCTGCCTGAAGTTACAGGGATTGCTTCCCAATGGGAATGCTATTGGTTAGATAAGGACAAAAACCATTGCCAGCCTTCAAAGACTTAAATGTCTTTCACAGCCCTTGCTAAGGCTTTAGGCAGAGACCTGAAGAACTTAACTCGCACATTAACAAAATCACAAGCTCCTCTACAGGACTGAGTGAAAATACCATATTTAATCAGAAAACTCACTGGGTTCTTCAGAAGCTACTGCAAGAGTCCCTGGAGTTGTCTGCCAAAGCCCTGCCTATGGACCTGAAGCACTTTCACCCAGCCTCCAGCTCAGCATTGAAACTGCTCTAGGATGTCACAGACATTGATTAAAGGAAGAAAGCGTCCTTCTGACCTGGAACTGTTGTGAATTACCAGAAAAATGCCAGATTAATGAGGAAGCGCTGGCCTTCTCCTTTCTAACAGAGCCACCCCAAACTGCTCTCAAAGAAATACTACTAAAGGGAGTGTTAAAGATCTAAGAAATGCAGCACCTGCAGAGAAACAAACTGAAATGACGCACTGATGCTCAAATGAAAGAGGTTTCTCTAGTGTTAGACTATTAACATTGAAAGTCATCATAAAGCCTTAATTGTGCCTTGAAATGTGTGGCAATTTTCCAGCATCGTTTAACACTGCCTGTGCTGCCACAAAGAGGACACTGATGGTGTAAATACGTGTTAGCTTCCTATGCAACAGACTGAGATAGGCTTTTACATACAGACTGAGATAAGCTACTTGTTCAAGTCTGCACGAGGATTAACACACAAGTTTGGTTGAGCAAAATGCTGCCCTGCTTCTGGAAGAGTTTATAGCACACCAGAAGTGGAAACACCTACAGCTCCTGCCTCACTGGAGCAATTAGTGGCATTTATAAGCCTGATGCCCAAGCACACTGTCCCTGTTCTTCTATTTACAATATTAAGGCACTTTAGAAGACATTTTCTTTAGGATCATAATAATAGCTCTGTTTAGAAGCACTGAGATGTCAACCAAATGTCACCACTGACTGTACACTTCCAATTATCAGATGTATCTATCCTGCTCTGATCTCTCTTCCTTCTCTTGTTATGATTTGATCTGTTCAGTCTGCAAAAGGGAAGTACAGGTCTAGCTTCTGTACAGCTTTCATCAGTGATTCCACTGCACAAAGCTTCTGAAAGCGTAACCTGAAAACGGCCAAAGCAAGAGTGCGGTGTGTCCAGAAGCACTGCAAAGCTGGGTCTTGTCACTTCCTGGCAGCAAAATTATCCCATCAGGCAACTGGACAATAATCATAGAATCACAGAATGGTTTGGGTTGGAAAGGACCTTAAAAGTTCATCCAATTCCAACCCCTGCCATGGGCAGGGACACCTTCCACTAGAGCAGCTTGCTCCAAGCGCCTGTGTCCAACCTGGCCGTGAACACTGCCAGGGATGGGGCAGCCACAGCTTCTCTGGGCACCCTGTGCCAGTGCCTCAGCACCCTCACAGGGAAGAGCTTCTTCCTGATAATAAATAAGAGCTGCTCCTGGATGGTTTATCCAGCAGCTGAATCAATCCCAGAAAGGGGAGACTGGAAATACAGTGCACAACCAGTATGGCCACTTTCCCTGGGTACCCTGCCTGGCCTTCCTACCACACACAGGTTCATAGATCTGGCCCACGGTGCCAGCTAACAGATGGAAATGGTACCTGATTTTAGGAACACTCACTGGTAATTTGCAGAAAACATAGTGATCAGGACAATGCCATTGTACTGTGGAGGGATTTCATTGTTATTCATTTCACTAAATGGAATGGTACAAAACTCACTGCCAGAAAAAGCCATGTGCACTTGATGTCTCAGCTGGAATCCTAATCAAGCTAGCAGCCGCAGCAGTAGGTGTGGATGGACGTCCCCAGGAAGCACATCCTGAGGTCCACCAGAATGGTCCCATATGGATCCCTACAGTGGGGACAGCAGTCTGAGCTCTCCCACAGAAACTAGGGGAATGATTTTGTTCTACTGAAACCCACACAGAGAGCTACAGTAAAGGAAATAATCAGAGCAAATGAAAATGCCTGACATCTTTAGACTATGTACCAGGAGAACCATTACGTACTTTCCCATGGAATGCCTTAAGATTATATGAGCACTAACCTATTCCCTCGTAACAACGTGCTTGGGTCACCTTAAATACTAAAGCTGACTGAGGCGATTCAGATTGCTCCCATCACTTAATGTACCTTGTACTTGGTAAATGTATCCATATGTAAGAATTACAGCTACTCTGCTCTTTTTCTAAGTAAAAAGAAATCACTGCTATGGACCATAACAGCTGCTTTATTTTTAATAGCATTTTCCGTGACGGTGATGTGGAAAGAAGGGGACAGACAGGAATTAACCAGCCTACTTTTAAACGCTATTCTATTATTATTCTAAGGTGCTATTTAAGTACCAAGAAGTGCTTTGCTAAGCAGCAAATTACAGGAAACGGGGCTTGGCAAACTAAAAAAAACTTTGCACAACAAAAGTTTTAGAATTTGCACATTTCCCCAACTAAAATAACGGAATAATGCTCTAAATGGCAAAAATTACTGCTCAGATCAGAGCCAGGTTTGAAAACTACAATAAGGTTGCATTATGTCAATATTCTGCTTTTTTGACTGGCAAAATACTATAAGAAGTATATAACAAATAGTAGATATTGTGGTTAAAAGACTTGCTGGTTTGAGTCCACAGAGCCACCTGGGAATGTTGGGAGTTCCCATGGCAACCTCAGCATGGACAATTACGGAGCAGCTACAATTACTCTGAATATGCCTGTTGAGAGCAGGGTTTCGTTTTGAGATGGCCACAAATAATGCCATTCCGGAGAGAAAATTCACACCCCAAGGTTGAAACCAAACGAAAAACAGTGACAGATTTTATCCTGCCTCCACTTCCTACAGGAGTATATTTTTACCTCTAACTATTAATAATGATGTATCATCTATAAATCACTGAAGACAGATTTGATCGTACTGCTAAATGAGCAGATAACTGATTTGTAGGGCAAGATCCAGAACATAGATTCATTACAATTTGCTGCAGAGAAAACAGTGCACTGCACCTACAGGCAATGTAACTTCATTTCTATACAGCAGACAACTTTGTATGGTAATACATAACAGAGTATAGAAAAATCTACTTAGTGAGGTCTCTGTGTGATTCCATTAATGAAAGCACCATCCTACTTAATCCTCCTCTTTCTTTTCCACATTTGGTCCCATTTGTTGGCTAGGATCTCTAACTACTGGGTGCAAGTCAGGTGTTAATTCGTCTGGTTTGGAACTGCCAGAATGAGCCATGAGAAAACTTCTCATCACAAATAGTTTCTACTGTTCAATTACAAATGTAATGAAGAGAATGTTTCAATTTCTTATTTATTTCTTATTTATAATCCTGTACAGTTATTTGATGGTAGATTTACACAGAATAAATGACTTAAAGCATCTGTGCCAGAAGGTCCAGTCAGTAAAGCAGCATATCAATGAGATCTGTGTGACTAAAAAAGCACATTTAAATAAGAAGTCTGGGTTGTTAAAGTGGAGCGAGAGGGATGCAACAGGGTTGTGTAAACAGTCTGAAATCAGTGAGAGCTTGAGGCCAAATCTTAAAGATGCCCATTGAACCGCAGACACAGGCAGATACTTTACGTTTGATTTAAATGAGAGGTAGCTCCTAAGTGCTCTGGGAGAGCTACTAAGTAAGTTTCTAAACTTGAGTCAAAAGGGCAAAGTCAGGTTTAAGGATGCCTTAGATTTACCTATTTTAAGACCAGAAACTGGTTTCAGAAGTTTCAGCCTGCCCAGGACAGTGGTTGTGTCACCATCCCTGGAAGGATTTAAAAGACGTGTAGATGCAGTGCTTAAAGCCACCACCATGGCTTAGAGGTGGACTTGGCAGTGCTGGGTTAGTGGCTGGACTCTTAAAGGTCTTCACCAACCTAAGCAATTCTATGATTAAATCACAAATAGCAGCATGTTTCTCTGCACTATCTACTTGTTCCTTAGTACAGGGTACCTAAAATAAAATGACTATTTAAGCCAAGATATATATGATAAGAAAAATAATGTAAGAGATGATCAGTCAGCACCACTTATGTGCCATACCAGAATAGCTAATAAGTTAAATACCACCATTCAGACATCTGTGATGATTATTTTTACAAGCTATAACAGTAATCCCCCTCGAAACCAAATATGAACATTACTTGGAAGCGCTACTTCCCCCTCTTCCTCCTTACAGTGGTACATGTTGGAGAGCATGAGGCTGAACCTAAACCCTTTTACCATGTAACACTGCATTGTACTAGCCTCGGTCTAGCTATAATCACGTATTTTGTTTGGCTACCAGTATTCCCATAAATCATCACTAAGTTTTAGAACTGTTCATTATGCAACTCTAAATGATACTGCTGGAGACACTGTGTTCACGGAAAACCTATTCCCTTTCCTTGATTAATTCAGACCATTAAAATAGCACCAACCAGGCTACCTGCAGGAGAGGGAAAGCTTCAAATACACAGTGCTGAAGCTGAACTAATTACACTCTGAGACAGACTAATTATTTCTGGGGCAGAGCTGACCCCATATGAAGCTGCCATTTCCGGGACCCAGTCCGGTAGCTTTACACAATGCAACCTCTCATGATTTCTACTTCATTGCAGGACACGGATAAACCCTGACTGTTTGTTCTGCAACCAGTGTATTTACAGTAGGCTTAAGAATATAACCTAAGAGATTGTAAATTCAATATGCAAACATACTGCATATAATAGCTGACATTTTCAAATAGACAACTGTAGTGATCTGTCCTTGTGCTGCCTCTGTCCTGAAAATAACAGATAGATTTCTATACTTCTATCACCAACATACACATATCCACCCAATTCCAGACTCTGTATACTGCACAGAGATGTGGAAGAGGTGAAAAGAATTATTTTTGAAGCTATTCTTTTTTGGAAGGATAAAAAGCGAATATGATCTTGACTAGAAAATGACCTAGTGCAGCAAAATAAAATCACACTGGTCAGATCACAATTGTAAAGAAAAGAAAATGGAATGGAGATTCAAATACTTCTCAAATGTGTAACAGAAATCATAGTTCATGCTGCAGACAAAAATATGGTAGCTGATCCAAATGTGTTCAGAAGAAATTGATGCACCTTTTCTTTTTCTTTCTTGAAAGTTGAACATGTGCCGTTTTTCCTCACTTTCTTGGGTTAACCCATCTTTTATAATAACAATGTAGAATTCTGCCTGATGGTGAACATAAGAAATTGCCATTTCAGGTTGAAAGGTACAGGCGTGTTCGCTTATGCACAACAGGTACATTAATTACTTGCTGGATAAACAGCTATACCAGAGTTGTAAATGTTCGACCAGAAAAAAGGAAAACAATAGTGTAGATTGGAAGATTTCAAATTCAATGCTGTGTATGCAGCTGGGAAAACCAGTCAGGTCAGATGAGCTGAATCCAGCACAGACATTAGCAACACACGTCGCTTCCCAAGCCCTACCTTTCCTGTTGCTGGCTTTAATGGCCAGCAAGTGTTTTGCTGTAATATTGGCTATAGCTGCCAGAAGAGGCAGACCTGCTGGCTAAGTCTGCTCATTAAGAAGCAATTCCTTTGCGTGGCACAGGGAGACCATGCTTGTGACTACCAACCACTCCAGTCTGCACCACAGGAGGCAGGAAGACTGCGGGAAGTATCGCTTTATCTTCAGTGTTTCTTTTCTGTACGTAGCCAGCAATACTTCCAACCCTTCAAAATTCCATACCCACATAAAAGCTGTCAGAATCTCACATCTACAAAGGTTTGGAGGCTCCAAATAATCACTAATTAACACTGTAAATATTTTCTTTAGAAGAAAAAGCATTTAGTGTGAAACGTTCTAAGTATTAAAATACCGTTGTTTCTGATAGTTTAATTTGTCAACTAATGGAGATGAGAGTGATAAGGGCTGGCAGATTTTGCAGCAAGGATTAAAAGACATTGAAATTATTACATATTCTTGACAAAAAAAGGTTTTCAAATACCAACTCACAAGTGTCAGGGGAGAGAAGCCGAACTGTCAGAAAAAATGGGACAACTACTGAATTACACCATGTGGTCCAACCTCCAAGAAACCCAAAGGCACATAGTGCTGTCACAGGCAACAGAAACAGCAGCACTCTAAAATGTGTCTTGTAATACATGTTTTTTTTGGTAATACAGTGGAAAGTGCATGTAATATATAGTTGCACCCATCTGTGCTTAATCCTCACCTCAAACTTCTGCCGGAGCTCTGCGTTTCCATCTTCATCAGCATCTGGAATGGGAACATTATAATATTCACCTTCCTCTTGGTTCAGCAGCTTGTACCTGTGGAACGTTTGAGAAAACAACAGTCACTGCACAGTTTAAGTGCTGCTAGATTTAACATGGGATTTAATTGTATGAAGTGTGGTTTGTATCAATGTCACAGATACGTGAAGAACTGCTTTGAAAGATCTAAAGCAAACTCAGAAACAGAAGATGTTTAACCTAATGTTAGAACTTTAATCCAAAACTATCTGCCAAGGCAGGTTAATGGACAAGGAAATTCCACCATCCTGGGGTATGATGGGAGACATCAACCTTCAAGAACCTTTGTCTCCAGTGCTTCTACAGCCACAGGCAATTGACAAAAGGTACTTTTTGAGTCAATGTGATGAGTTCTATCCCTAGTTTACTTGTTAGGACATAAGACGGTACTTTACAAAATCAGTTCCCATGTACTTTGATTTTGCAGAGCTATGTATAACATGATACACTTTGTAATGAATATATCATATTCATGATAAAAATAAGTCTTAGCACAAGAGCATGTACACAGAACTGAGTGTACAGCAGAAGCTTCATGAACACCACCAAAGAAAAACGTTCCTTTTCTTATCCTCCTTTGTCATAAATAATCTGTTTCTTAGGCTTAGTTGCATTTTCAGTGCATTTACAGCGACAAACTCCAAACCAGATTGATTATGTTGAAGAAAAATACTGGAATGTGTTATATTCTCTCCTCTTTCCAGAACTCTCACCATCCACTGGCGGGCATTTTCATAAGCTCTGACACTCCAAATGAAAGGGATCCCATGAAATCATTTCTGGTTGTTCGATCCCAGTCCCAGACCTCTACTGATAACCGTCGATCTTTGTCTGTGGGTTTTAATTTACTAAAAAGGACAGAAACAGAGGAATGTTCAATGCAACACTGAAATAAAAGAATCAACCCGTACACAGGCACTTCATTAAAAGGCATTAAACTTACAATGTGAATGATTCATTCCAGTCCGGATTCAGAGTAGAACGGATGGTTTTCGTTTTCTGTTTACTTTCATTCTTAGGATCAGGGATGAGCTTCAGTTTAACATAAGGATCTGAAAGTCCATTTGGATCCATGGGAATGAGGTTTTTTGCTTCTCGCACTGTCAACATAAAACATAGCTGATTTGTATGGGACTACAAATCAACGTAAAGAAAGCAGTTATTTGTCAAACCAGTTATTGAAACATGCTGGAAAATAAAACAAGCAAGACATGAAACCCATTTGTCAGACTTGGCATGGAAGAAGCTACTTGATGTAAAGTAAGGCTGCACTTAGCGTTATTTATAAGAACGGTAGAGAGAAATGACAGGAGAGAAGAGCAATTCACAAACAAGAAGCACCTTTCAGGCGGCTCTTTTCCTGCAATGGAATGATTGAATGCCCAAATACATCACTATAAATTTTTCAGTGCAGATCTTTTATTTCCTCATCAGTCTTAGGTTATTACAAATACAGGACTATCAGCCAAATACTATGAAGGTGATATAGCCAGATCATAATAGGTTTCAGAAGACTGCTAATTTGTTACAATCCTTCCCTGGAAGGTTCCTAACACTAAATGTCCCTCGGATTCCTGGTTTGTTCATTGTCAGATGGAATCACTGTAAGCATTTTATCATGACAGTAACCAAAGTAAAAGTGCAGAGAAGACAAGTTTAAATTCAGCTTCACAAAAAATGCTAATGTAGCTTCTATTTTTGCAATGTCAAAAGAAGGCATGAAGTGAGTTAATATATCTCTTGTTGCTACTGATCCCCAAAGAGAGACAAGAATAGTCAGCAATCTGAAAGGGGTACCATTCCTTGCAAAGACACATCCCAGGAACAAGGCAGGGATGATGGGTTACAAAATGGCTCTTACTGGGGGCTTGGCAGCTTTGGGGTTTCAGCCTGGCTGGAGTTTCTGCAGCGCTTGTGAGGTTCATTAAGTAGCTCAGGAGTCACTGAAGGGGAGTGAAGTATTCCAATGGATGAGCAAAGGCAGCACTGCCATCCCCCCCTTGCAGAGGACCAGCTAACACCCACATAACATTTACACTACAGTAAGGTTTTATCCTGCATTAACAACATTGAGCCATCAGCTCCTGCTTAACCTCAGCAGAAGAGGTGAGTTTTCCTCATGCTGTGCACACCCCATCCCACCCTGTTGTGCTGTGAGGAACTGCAGTGGTTGAGCTGGGATGGGGAATTCAGTGATTGCAACAGGGCATCTCAAAACCTACAGGGAGCGGCAATCCCTGGGCTTGTTTTGGACAGAAAGCAGCTTTCATTCAGGAATTCTTTTGTGGGATTCATAGTTTAAGATTAGAATTGTCCCTGGAAGGAAAACAACAAGAAGCTTTGAGGGTGACATGGTTCCTAGGGTATGAAGGAACACCAGCATTTAGGAGTCACTAAACTCCTACTGTCTGTGTTTTCAGCTACTGCTTTCAGAGAGTCAACCTCAGGAGGGCTGTTTAAATTTACCTACTTAACTGAAGAGATCTGAAAGGAAATTTAGGAACGATCAACCCTTAAGTTACCCAATAGCTCTTGATGGAAAACATCTCCTACAAAAGGCTGAGCCTCAGAGTCACTTAAGAACTCAATCAGAGCAGATCTTCACCAAAAGATAGTTACGGTTTGCTCAAGGCTCTCTCCTTTCCCCCCAGATTTAAATAGCATTTCATATTATGAATGAAAATTACAGACCTTCCCAGGATTTCAACCTGTTATTTCCCAGAATGGAGACTGAATGGCATCCAAGCAACACAGATATTTTATAAAGTCTCATTTTCTCTCCTTATTTATAGAGTAAGGGGAGGACACTCTGATGACGTGTAAACCAGCTGAAGTATGTCTTTTCAAAGTGTCTTTTGTTCTCCCTTTAGAAATAAAGGCAGGGCTGGGGTGGACTGACAACTGTGCTGCTAAAACAGAAAGAGATGGTCAATGCATGTAAAGCACAGGACAGGTATGTATTCACACGCTGATGTAAGTCGCTCTAGGCTGACAGACTCCTTTTACATGATGGAAAGAGTGTTTCAGTATTGGTAAAGACTGTGTTCTTCCAAACGACATAACTGCTAAGTAATGATTTAGTGCAAATCTACTACTTAGCTGTTGTGTCATTTGATCCAAGCTGTAGAGGGGAAAAACTGGGGGAAAACAACAGCCACTGCCACAGAAAATCAGTAATTCCAAGCAGTCCAACCTGCTCCATTTAATGAGAGAGGATCAGATGTGGTGGAACACGTTCAAAGAGAGAAATACCAGATATAACTGATACCCTATATCCAAAATGGCTGTAGAAAGCAGGTAGAGTACAGGAATGCAAGCTACTTATTTGGAACACGCTAGTTTATTTGTCAAGATAATTCTCATGCAGAACAGATACCCTGATGTAGATTAATTATTGAAATTAGATCCTGTCTGGAAAGGCATCACATTAACCTGAACCAACAGTTGATAATGATTAAGTCTCGCTTCTTAAATCTGTGCTTTTAAAATGAGGCAGAAAATGTGTATGGGCTAAAATCTTAAGACAAAATGTATTTCTATTCACTATGTTACTCAAGTAACTGTACCAGATAAAATACACCGTGATTTAAAAGAACAAAACAGAAACATGCACTTTTTCTTGCAGTGTTTCATCTGTAGTTTTCCACAACCCCTGCATGAAGCTGAGAGTGCTTTGCAATTGGGGAAATGATAGCTTTCAGTCCAAAGAAATTGCCTCCACTCTCATTTTACTCTGAGTTTGCCTTTTGAGGGTCTCTGCATGCAGAGAAAACCTCTTCTGTTCTCAACCCATGATGAGAAACCTTCATCCAATATTAAAATTAAGCACACTGAAAGGGACTGTCAAATACTTTTGAGGAATAACATCAAGATTAAATAACTTGCTTCAGTTGAATATTTACAGTCCCAAAGGGACTAAGAACCATAAGTGAGTGAAGGATGAAGTGACAGCTTTCAATGCAAATTGCTCGCTCTCTCATCTTACATGTGGGTTTATTTTGGGGGTTGGGTTTTTTTTGTCTTCTTGTACGCAGCACTTGGGACTGCACTGCCAGGTTTGGCACATGAACTATTGCTTCAAAATCCACCTTTTCATTTTTATTCTCTACTATTATTTCTATACTGTAGTTCGGCATAAGTAAGGAGCAGAACGCTCTACGCGTTCTCCAGCTTCCCAGGAATACACACTAGTAAGTTTTCCATTCAAATTCCTTGAACAAAATTGCTTAACAAGGTGCCTTCATGGTTAAATTTTACCTGGAAATGCTCAGTGTGAAACGGATAAGTTCTGAGGAACTGGCTGGGTGGATGCAGAGCCCTTCTTGAGGCTGTGCTATGGACTGCTCCTGGAGAAAGCCAGCCCTGATTAGCCTTGATCCATGCCTAGAAACCAGCCCTGACAGCAGGAGAAGGTGGCAGCCTGTGTGAGACTACTTCTTTTCACAGCAAAAGGAAAAAAAGCCCTCCAAATACCAGAAAAGAAGTTCAGAAATGAACTGGGAAGGAAAGAAGGAACATCTACTAAATACAGGCTGCCAAAGAAGGCATTATCTCACTCCTTGTTTTAAACTATCTGGCCCATTTGCACTTTTGTCTGCATAATTAGTACCCTTAGACATCTTTCTTCAACTGACTTAGCACTTCTTTTCTTGAGGAAACAGCATGATGGTACTTGTGCTTATAAAGAATTAGCATCTATGTGGTCCACCTCTTTAAGAGCACCCTATTTTTAACAGGATAGGTCAGGTTTCTGTAAGAGGATTTAGAAGGAGATTTCCCCTCCCCACCAAAGGCACTACCTCTTGTGTGTGGCTGAAACAGAAAAAGTGAAATGAGAAATAAAGACATTTAAAGTGAAATGAAAAATAACACCACGAAAATACATCAGCTTACTGCGGCTGGATTCTGCTATAGCTGTAATGATGGCAAGCAATCTCATACTGCTCTATAATTACCAGTTAATCAAACTCAACGCTGTGATAGAGATGTCACTCGAATTTGCAGATGGCTGAAGTGAGATACAGTTCAGCATCACTTGGAGTGTAACTTGGGTGAAACTTAAACTACTACTTGACAGTTTTCTGTCACAACTATTAAGTTATAACTATCCATGACTTCTGTACTGAGGAAAGCGGCTGGCACAACATACATTTCCCAACATTTTGTCTGGATTAGACTCTTAAGAGGGGCTGAGAAAGCACTCATGAAAATACATTAAAGAGAAGTACATGTTGAAGTGTCGAACAAATCCAGCGTTGCCCAGGTTTTCCTTCTGAAAACCAGAAATATTTGTCAGAGAGAAAAAATGTGCCACTTTCCTCCTCATGGCTAAAGAAGACAACACCATGATGGTGATTCAGCAGAAAATGTAGAATATTTGATGACTGTCCTATGGCTGTTCTTATAGATGTGCTACTTATATCCAGCAGTATCCGTCCAGAAGCCATGCCTAAAACTGGGACGCCCACTTTTCCAGGAATAGTCTAAAGCCATAAGCAAATACAGAGCTGGTTCTTAGGCATCCGTACTTTAAATAAGTATCTAAATAAGACAGAGTGGGCTGGTAGGGAACAACTGACATTTTATGTAAAGAGAAGAAATTCAGGCAGCATTTTGAGGAGCTCAGCGTGCGGATGACGAACCCAGAACTTCTTTCATGCAATCTTATAGGTTACAAGTTGCGAGCCCCATGCAATTATGGGTTTATAACTTCTTGTGATACCAGCAAACAAATTTAGTCATGGGAATGAATAAATAAATGCTATTGTCCCTGTAACAAAGCTGAACTATCAACAGTGTGAGTTTATTCAGCTCCTTTTCAAGTGAGTCACAGCTACCTTTCTCCTGAATTCCCAAATGTTGATAATAAACCAGTTCACTAATCACAGCAACCATTTCTTGCCAATCTTTAACTCCCTGCAGGCAACCCAGATGAGCAGAAATCCCTCAATCACACATGAATAGCTGCTTTTGAAAGATGATTCAAGTCTCAAATGGTCTCTCTGGCAAACTATCCAGCAAAATGATTGAAATGGAGATGGCTGTTAGCTCCAGTACATCCTGGAGTTCCTGCCTTCCCACAATAAAGCATTAGTAAATT